GAGAACAAAAGCTCTTCCTCAGTCCGTGCAGAGGAGCTGCTCCAATTTTTAATTTGATACAGACTGCTTGGTCCCATGTGGCAGTTCCAAATCCCAGCCTAGCCTCCACGCAGTGCCCTGAGGCCCTCTCCCTTGCATTCAGCCTGGCTCAGCTGCCTCCCTCCAAAGCTTTGCATCCCCCAAAACTTCAGCACTGCCTTTCCCAGTGGATGATCCTCACCACCAGCAAATCCTGCTGCAGAGAGCTGAGTTGAGCTGCTACTCAGTGGTATTTCTTGCTGGCTAAGGCAACAACCCTAGTCTGGTAATCCATAGTTTATTTGCATGATACAGACAGGTTCAGCCCCACTGTTTCAGGTTTTCTTGCAGATCAGAGTCCTGCAGTGCTACTGCTCATCTACATTTGGAAGTAAGCAGAAGACCATGTAAATACTCAACTTCCTTTTAGGCACAAAGCTTCAGCCTGAGGTGACCTTTGTTTTACCCCAAAGAGTGATGCTGTTGACACATCTTTACCTCACAAACCCTCAGAAGCCGCAGGCCATAACTGCAGAGACTGTTTCCCCCAGTAGGGATGCAGATCTGTGTTGCAGTTAGCACCTACCTTTAAGAAAAATATATGGTCAATTTTCCAGCCCATCCTCCAACCTGCCACAATTCTTTCCTAATTCTACTTATGCTTCCCAAGCACTCAGTGCTGCTGCCAGCTTAATGCCATCAGAAGCACAAGGAGCTCACTCCCCATTCCGTGACCTCTGCTGCTAGCGGAAGCACCAAATTGGACTTGATGCAAGACCAAAGCCCTGGACCCTCAAATTAATTATGCTTCACAGGGTGGGATAATCACTGAAATTAGTTTGAGACATTTCTCTTGACCAGCACATGCTGGGGAAAGCCTGTTACCTCTAAAGTTTGCCCCAAGGATTAGATAAGCTTTCCAGAACATAGATCCCCAAATTCCTCCTTCTTTTGCAGTTAAAGGCACTATTTTCACAGAATCACAGAATATGCTGAGTTGGAAGGGACACACAAAAATCATCAAGTCCCAGTCTTAGGCCTACACAGGACCACCCCTAGAGACACACTATGTGCCTAAGACCATTGTCCAAATGCTTCTTGAACTCTGGCACTGTTGGTGATGTGATCACTTTCTTGGGCAGCCTGTTCCAGTGCTCAGTCACCCTCTGGGTGAAGAACATTTTTCTGATATCCAATTTATACCTCCCGTGAAACAACTTCAGGCCAGTTGCTTGAGTCCTATCACTGGTCACCACAGAGATCAGGGTCCCTTTTGTTCCCTTGACAAGGAAGTTGCAACTGCAATGAGTTTTGCCTCCAGTCTCCTCCAGGCTGAACAGGCTAAGTGACTTCAGCCACCCCTCATGTGGCTTCCCCTCAAGGCCCTTCAGCATTTTCCTTACCCACCTTTGGACACTAACAGCTTAATAGCTTTTTTTTTTATACTGCAGTGAGCAAAACTCTACACAGGACTCAGGGTGAAGCTGCAGCAGTGCAGAGCAGAACAATCCTGTCCCTCAGCTGGCTGGTGATGCTGTGCCTGATGCACCCCAGGACAGTTTCCCACGGGCCCATAGAATCCAGTGTTCTGTAATACCAGAGCACCCACAGCTCTGGCTGCCATCCGAGCACAGCCCACCTCTTTCAGCAAACAGGAGTAACATGAGCAGGAGGCATTTCTGCCTTCTCAGCGGAGTGTCTAAATATCTTTAACTACCATAAAAGCAAATAAACAATGATAAATATCGTTATCATAAGTGAGGGAGGCTGTTGACATCAACATGCCTGAGTGCTCACAGGGGCTAAGAGCAGCTTGGCTAAGGGCAGTCCTGCTGCTGAGGTATTGTGACCCCCTCTGCTCAATTTTCCAGTTGACTGCAAGGCAGCTGAGCTGTTTTTTCCCCATATTCTCCTTTCACAAACCAGCACAAAGGTAGGTCTTTTAAGGAATTTACTGCCTTGGTAGAAAATCTGCAAATCTACAGAAGCAGAAAATCTTGTCACGTCTCCTCACAAACCAAAGAGAACTAAATGAAATCCCACTGGGATGCTCTGGCTACCTCAGTGTAACAAAGTTCAGTTTAAGCTGCTTGTTTCACTTGCTACATTGTCTGGGTTTTATCCAATTTGATGTGGGACACAAAGTAGCTCCTTTTTTGCCTTCCCGGGCAGCGGGCATGGTCAGAGCCGAGCAAAGCACTGGCCCTTCCTGCCTCTCATGCACACACACACACCCACGCACACACACCCACACACACACACACCCACACCCACCAAGCTGTGCAAATTTCTTTGCTCACTCTCTGCAGTTGACATTTTCTCATCTGCAACATTTTTGATTATTTGTCAAAATCTCACCAGAGTCCCCTCAACAGCTAAAGTATCAGGCTAGGTACTACAGCAGCAAAGTTCCTTGATGTGGATGGAGGCTTGGAGCTGGCTGCTTCCTCACCCTATGGATCACCACAGTGTAAGACCAGATCATCCCTGTTAGAGGAAGGTTGGAGGACAGCCCTTCTCCAAAAGCATGGCTGTCCAACTCCAGCCTCTTCTTCCTCACCAGCCAGCCCCCAACACCACACCTCGGCAGGGAGCAGCAGGGGCTGGATTGTTGCCAACCAAGCAGCCACCACACCCAGCTCTGGCCAGCACTGCACTGTCCCCCAGGCCTGCTTTTATAGGAACTAAAATTTAGAAAGGTACTGCCCTGCAAGAGCCTGGAGAAAATTATTTTTAAATGCCCATGCACAGCTAAGAGCAAAGCCCTGTCTGCAGGAGCTACAGCACTGCCTGGCTTTACCTATCACTTCACACCAGATTTACTACAGGAATTGCCAAGGGGCCACCCTGCACCACGATAACAAAATCTTCCCAGAGACAGAGGCAGAAATAGCCACACAGTGGCTTCATGCCTGAAACACCAGCAAAACAGTTCAGCCTCTCATGACAGATGCCCTGCACAGTGCAGACACTGATTTCTTTCCTCCTTTCGTCCCAAATCTGCCCCTTTGACTCCAGGCAGAGATGAGCAAATATTTAATTAACACATTTGACCTTTTATCAGCGCTCAACGCTGATATGGCTTTCTGTGCAGCAGTTAGGTGCGCATTCCTGCAGCCTGTTGCAAACTTGGGAGTAGGACAGTGTTACAAGGTTTCCTCACCCATCTTTGTGCATTTTCTAACACTCTAGGTTTGAAAACTGAGAATGTGAAAGTGCCATCTTCCATTATTTTAATAGCATTTAAGTTTGTATCTTTTATTCCTTTATGGTGGTATAAAGTAGTAAACAAGTGTTATCCAGAAAATCAAAAATCAAAGGACTACCTAGAAGATCAAAATCAGACCATTTTAATTCTTTTTCCTGTGTATGTTTAAAACTTTCCAAATTTATTGTGGTAAGATGGGGTTGGAGTTGACAGAATGAAAATGATGCCTCAAAATAGCTGAGAACAAGAAGTTCATTGTATTAATATGGCAGAGAGATCCTGCTCCTTCTGGTTTAGTTGTTAAGAGAGACCTTTACACAATATCATTCTACCAACCCTTAGTTCTTGATCATTATTAAAATGCCAAAAATTCTCATGTCAGTGAGTTACTTTTTTAATTTAAAAGATGTCCCATGTGTGTAGCCTGCCCTTGCTCAGCCCTTTTCTTCCCCCTCACCTGGCCAGATCAGGATGGTTCAAGTTTTTAGTTTTGGCTTTTAGTTTTCACTAAAACCTTTCACTATTTCAGCCTCAAGCTCAGTGTGACCTGGAAATAATACAAGAGAAACCTCACCAGAGTAAGGGAACCCTTGGTAACTTCATAAGACATGCAGTGAATATCACTGAGACCTTTTTTCAAAATACAGCAGCACCACTTATATTTGATAATTATAAACATTTTATTTTTACAGTATAAAAATATAGGAAAAAATATTATACAGAAAAATATAAAATTGTGACCTTCTCAGTCCCATTTAAGACAAACAGGATCACATTGTGTAAGCCCCAGACTTCAGCAAATAAAATTATCCTGGCAGCTGAAGTGGTGGCACACTCAACCCAAATGGGACAGCTGCTGCTCACCACATCCAGAGGCAGAGGTATGCCAAGGGATAACCTTCCAGCACAGGGAACCTGTCTTGCAGCTTCCAACATCCTCACAAGTTTGACTTTGCTACAAACAAAATGAAACTGAAGTCCCCCTCCACGATCTGACCTGGAGATGAACGCCCCAGCCCACAAAGTACTTATTTACAGTAAGGTGGTAAGAGCACACCTGCCCACACACATCCCCTGGCTGTGATCCCACCCCATATGGGCTCACATTTTCACAAACCAGTGGCTGTAGCACACTCACACAAACACAACTGCAAGTTCTCTGTGACCAGTTGTGAAGCTGCAAACTACCATTTAAGGAAGACAAAAGGTCAGTAAAAACAAGCTGATGAAACCCCTGAGCTTCCACTGGTTCCTCTAAACAGAAAAAAGCCAGCCCCCTACCCCCAAACAACAGAAGCAGCCAGCATTCTTTTCCAAGGTACTGGCTGTTTCACTACATTCCTGTCTTTAAAGGAAGTAAAAAAAAATCATCTCCCTCTTCTTTACCTGTACTTCTCCAGTAGTATTTTAATTTCCCACGACTAAACTGTCTAAGTTTGCTTACAGGTAAAGCAGGAAGGAGAGAAGAGAAAGAAGGCAGAGAATTAAGGAATTACAGTGCAAATTATATACTCATGGAAAAAAAACCACAAAGGAAAAAGGTTCTCTGGAGATTTTTCCAAGCCTATTCTCTCCATGGTCCCAAAACTGGATTCATCCTTGTTAGGGAATATCTTCCAGCTGACCCTAGACGTTCAACAGAACATTGGGAGTGTGCTCCACATGGCAGTGAACTTGCTTTCACACTGTGTACCAGCAATGCTACGAGATGCCTTTTCATCACCCAGTAATCACGGCAAGATTCCACAAGAAAGTGCAGTGGGAGTCTCAGGTCTTCAAGTTCCTCTTATTTTATTCACTTGTAGCCGAGATTTGAAAGTCCCTGTGCTGTACTCACAGCAGAAAAAAAAGTGCAGTAACACATGCTGGAGACACTCCAGGAATTATTGCTGTGCTGAGGCAGCTTGTGGAGGTTGACTAAAAAAAAAATTGACAAAAGAAGAAATAAGGGCAGGCCTAAAGAGGACTAAAGAAGAAAGGAATTGCCCTGGGCACCAGCGCATCCCAGTTCCTCCCCACTGCAAGAAAGGTGATGTAATGGATCCTGTCTCCTGTAAGCAGCAAGTGCAGGACTGAGCAGTTGTGAAGGGTTATCAGCAGCACATTTGGACAGTCTGTGGCAAGGGTAGGGGCAGCTCACTGCCACTTGTAGATATTCACCATCTTCTCTGTCAGAGTAGCCAAGAGGTGGCTTTGATTCACTTCCAAGGGGCAGATATCCAGTACAGGCAGGTCAGCTGGCAGCTTCTGCAGCAAGGAACCGCTTCCAGCATCCCAGAGCTGTGGAAGGGACAGACAAGGTCAAGGACTATAGGAATCTCCCCTCCTACTCAGGACAGACCTTCCCCTCTCCAGAAAAGATTTCCTCAGTTTTACTCATAGGATCCTTTCTCTACTTCCACACCCCATCTGACTGGTCTTTAACAGACTTGCAGCACAATGCACCCTGATGACCCTCTCTGACCCCACTCGTGGGCTCTCATACTTTTTCATACAAAGGGCAACCCTTCTCTTCCCCATCATTCCTAAAAAGCCTGCATCCTTCTCCCACAGCACTTACCACACTAACTATCCTGCTGAGTCTGTTACACCACTCAGAGGGCCCAATTGTGCCACTGTGCTCAACCCCATTCCCCTGGGGGACAACAGGGGCTCCCTGCCTACATGCCCTTTGATGGATAGGTACCACAGGCCTTGGCTGGGACTGGGAGTCCTATGCCATCAGGAAATTACATCTGCCACAGCAGTACAACAGACCAACTGCACAGGGTAATGTGCATAACAAGACAATTCCCACCAAATCACACTGATACTGTGACTGATAAGGCTTCTGTCCTGAAAACTGCAATGAACCCCTACACCACACTGAAAGGAGCAAGACATACCAGAGCAGAATTGGATGCCTCATCACCAGCACACACTAAGACACTCCCGTCATCCTCTGGACTCTGAAAAATGGCATTTTTGGTCAGCAACTTGCAAGTGGGCCCAGCACTGAAAGTCTGAACCGGGTTAGAAGAACACACCACATCTTCTGAGCCCTCTGTCAGTGGGCTGCAAGTCAGTTCCATCATCACACAACGCACACATGGGTTATTTTTACCTGTGTAGTAGAAATAAAAAGGTAACTTTTGAAAAACTCATATAGGTTTTAGCTGTAAGAATACAAGCAGCACAAGCCTGCAGCTGCCTCCTTTTGCCCATTCCCTATGTGCAGATGCTGATTGCTCTAGTAAGAGCAGGTGCTGTGTTTCTGCTGTGCACACAGCACCAAAGCTGCTGCTGAGCTCAGCCCAGAGCAGTGAGAAGCAGTGGTCAGAGCCTGCAGGGACACCCCAGTACGTACCAGGCCTGTACGTGGCCAGGCAGTGCCGTGTGTTGATCTCTGTTTGGAGATCAATGCAGCCTCCTGGTTCCAGGGGCAGGTGATGAGGCCGGTAGGAGTTGCCAGCTTTCTGTTCCCAAAAGCAGGCTCCTTCCAAGGTCCCAGCCAATATCCCACCATAAGGCAGCGACGCTGAGGCCATCCGGGGCAGGTAGGACAGCGATACCATGGGGCACCTGGAAGGGTCATTGGCAAGAGTCAGTGCTGTCAGCTGCAGCTCTGCTGGTGTCCTGCTCACTGCTGCAGAGCTCCAGTTCCCCAACTGCATGGCAAAGAAAGGGCCTAAGCAGGCTGTGAGATGGACCTTCAAGCAAGGAGAGCCAATGAATGTGTCAAGTATAAATTAAATCCAGTGTAACTACTGAGCCTTTATGTTTTACAGAAGCAGCAGACAGCACAGATCAGATGAGCACAAATCAGTGATTCCCAGAATATAAGAAACAGAAGCATCAGAATTTCACACCTCTTTGTGATTTGTCCTTTCAAAATTAAATACTAAACCCAGCTCTAAAACAAATTCAGGTCTTCTGTTTATACTGCACCAGTGGGTCTATTTCTGACCCTTGTGTGCCTTAAAAAGAGCACAAGTGTTTGGCACCTGCATAAGTTATATATAAACACCATAATAATTCCCACATTTGTGCTAAATGTGAATTTTTGAACAAGGGATTCACATAATACAGTTTAAACTATTGTAATTGTTGTGTGATTTATGGAAGAAGCTGTGTTTAAGTTGATGTATATTAGTTGAGAGGAATGATAAACCCTTCTGCCATACCTCGACTTCTGAGGGACCAGTTCTTGGACATGAGAGTTTGTGTCTCTCAGATCATATATCATGATAGAGCCATTGACCAATCCAGCATAGACATAGTTTGTATCATCAAGACACCAGCAGCAGCTCCACACTGGACGACCAGCATTGTATGTCTGCACCACAGTGTTTGTTGCCAAGCTGCAGAAGAAAATCAAAGTGTTGACCAGTTGCACAAGTATCTACTGATGAGAAAACAGTACAATTAAAGTAAGCTAATCTAGCTTTTTAAAGTCTTCAGACAAAAGCATCTCTCTTTAGACTGAATTCTCAATTAACTCCTCCTTTACTCCAGACATGAATCTAAAAACCCAAACAGAATAATCCCTTGGATATTGTCAAGTGATTTATAATTCTTCCAGGCCAACGCTTCTTTTTCCAGATTGATCTTTAGAGACTGGGAGAGGAAATCTCACAGCAGGGTCTCAGCTGCCTTACTGGCAAGAGAAAGCTAAGTTACTTTTCTGGAAACAATTAGGAGAAACAACTCTGATGCAGTCCCGTAATACCACATATTCCTGAGATCACAGGGCTCTTTTTAGATTACATCTCTCATTAATTATTTCCCCTCTTTTTACACAAGAGGAACAATATTTATGCCTCAAAAGGATCCATCTTAAGCAAGAGTGAGACAGTGAGCGGCTAAGGACAGTTGAAAGTGTTATAGTATTAATTGTTCTGTCTACAAACCAAGTTTCTAAAGAAGAGAGTCCAGAGAGGGGCACAACCCAGAATGCAGATGAAGTTGGTATCAGACCAGGATGTATCTGCAAAGGGCAGCATTGTCAACATGCATTTGCACACTGAGAATGGCAAGAGACAGAAGACTGCACATATGCAAGTAACTCTGGATATCCTTTGTAACACATGTGCTTCTCCCTGGGGAAGGTGGTTATGCTCAGGACTCCAGAGAAACATATAATTGCTCCCAGGTAAGTGTAAGGGGAACAACTACAAAGATCTAGCTGGGGAAATAAGGAGTTTGATATCAGAGCAGTGACTGGGTCAAAACAACAGGATGAAAAAAAAAACCAAAACCAAAACAAACTCACGGTGCTATTTTAAACAACTCCAAGCCAGAGCAGGAGACATAAAGACATCTTGGATAATTCTTTTGGGAAGGATGACAATGAAATGAGTAACTAGAGAAGACAGATAGCCAAAGAAGGACTATTCTTTCAGAGGGAGACTGAAACAAGTATGCATATGCTGCTGGAGCAAACATCTAACTCCAAGACATTCTGGGATCAAGCATAAAAATAAGAGGATCACAAGCACTGAAGCAGCCCACCAGGCAGTGAGAGGTAGACATGGAAGTGTCCGGCTCCTTGCTGCAGTGTCTGCTCACTCTTCAGATTAAACCATGAAAAGCATTATCAGCCTAATTAGAAATCTGACACCTTGATTTGAGCATCAGAGATAGTTTTGCTTACTTTTAACTAGTCTAGCAAACCTCCAACATGGTTACAGGAAAGAAACGTTTGTTGCAGGATTAAGTTCTCTTCATTGCTTCACTTGTGGGAAAGAATTGAGACTAATTAGTCAAACAACAGACACTTATCCTGCCTAACCCAATACTGACAGACTGATTGCACAGAGCTGTTAATATAACTCAATAAGAATCAATCAGCCAATAAGTTTTAAAGCACAGTAAGATTAAGACTGAAGAGCAGTACAGCAGCAAGAAAACACACTCATAAACTGTAAATTCTAACAGGACTGGACATACTTTTCTCTCAGTCTCTGCATAATTAGTTTCTAACCCGCTGCTTTAAGTCTCTGCTAGCTCTGGAGAGCCTCTAGAACATGCTCAACCATGCTGTTTATGCATTTTATATCTTAGATGAATTCCATGATCTGCAAGAAGTTTAAAATAGGAGAAGGCAACATCAGTTCAGGGAAAGAGGAGCCCAGCCTAACCACCCCTTATTTCTGCTTCACATTTCCCTGCTGTAACAGAAAACCAAGTGGACAGTAAATGTCATGTCTATATATTATATTATTTATCCTCAACACAGCCAGTCCATGCTGAATTACTTGTTTTCCATGGGAAAATAATCAGAGAGAGATAGCTCCATGACACCTCCACCTTAAAGATGCAAAATCAATCAATAAATCCTTCCCTCTATTAGTTCTCACATGCAGGGAGAATATGCAGACCTGATCTCATCTTTGCAGTGTCTTTCAGAAAACAGAATAGCAAGAACAAAATCCAACCCAGCCTCTTGCACACAGTCATACTCTGCAGGGACAGGCAGTAGGACTCACCTGGTGAGTTTGAGAGTGCTGTCCAGGGCAGCAGAGAGCAGCAAACCATTTGCTCGAGTACCGAAAGCCAGGCCCCTAATCTGTTTACTGTGGATGGGGATGTACTGACTGCTCTTCAGGTTGGCCAAGCTCATCATCTTAACACCACAACCTGCCACAGAAGAAGGGTAAAAAACCAGATTATTGCAAAGCAGCATATGCATAGAACTGGCCATAGTTCTATGCTAGAACTATGAAGTCTGTATTGAAGCCTGTGGTGGGATGAACATGTAAATTATTTGCTGTTCTGGATAAGAACTGCCACAAATCATTCTTTAATTCAAATGGCAACAAAGCTAAACCTTTAAGGATCCCAGCCAGTACGAGCAAATTCAGCACCAGTGTTACAATTCTGTTATAAGGCCTGCTGCTTTTTAGCCAGCTTCTTCAAAGACACTCTTGCCCAGATAAAACCACAAAGAGCAGGATTACATGGCTATTTAAGAGAACAAGCATCACAGCAAAGAATGGTTACAGGTGAACTTAACCTGTGTGCTACAAGAGTCACCACAAAGCCTCCATTCAGAGATTCAGTCTCTGGCTACAAATGCCAGAAAAATGAGACCAGTTAAATGTGGAAAACCACTTTGTTATGCCTAGATAAGGCACATTAACCTCAAACCCATTAACCAAATAAAGTAAGTTTCATCAGTCAGAAAGCATTTTGCACATAAGTGCTCTCAGACTCCTAATGCCACATGTATTGCACTGAAAAAGCCACTGGCACTGGTCCAGATGTCAGGTCACTGGCCTTTGGACATAACAGTGAGACAAAACCAGGGCTGCCTGTGACTTCTTGGATCCATATTTCCTCATTAGTGAACAGTGCTTCAGGCATTCTTATTAGAAGGAGTTTGCTTTTGGTTTGGTTTGTTTTCTGTTGTTTTTTTTGGGTTTTTTTAAGAGTTCTGACAAATCAGCTGCATGTGCATCAATTCATCTAGAATTTGGGAAGCAGCGTTTCTCACTTGACCATTGGAAATTTCTCTGCAGGCCCCACTTCCTGGGCCCTTGTTCTTTCAGAAGGTCCACCTTTGCAAGGATTATCAGACACACCTTTTACCTTCCTGTGGATGTGGCATTCCAGCAGAAGATCTGGAGACTCTCTGCTAGGACTCTGCCATAGAAGTGCCAGGGAAAACAAGCTCCTTTGCTAGGCAGAAGCTACCAGTGCAGGGGCCAGACGAACTATGGGCAGCCTTATGAGTAGTCTCAGTTTACAAGGCAAGTTTACATGCAAAGGCCAATCAGAAAAGCAGGGAGAAGGGACAAAGTAGAAATGACATTAATTTGTACTTCTTAACCCCCAAATGCTGACTTGCTTAATTACCAGGAATAAAAGTAGACTGTGGAGAAGGCTGTGATACCACAAGACAACTCAGTGAGTCACAGTATGCCATTACTCTGCAGTTCCCAGTCTGAGACACCAAAAAAGCCTTTTCCAAGTGGTACTTGCGCTGGCTTTGGCTGGAGGGGAGGCTGCCTGGGAGGCAGGTGCGGGAGCTGCCAGGTTGCTGTGAGGTGCTTGCATTGTACTGGGCCACCAGAGCCTTCAGCTCCTGCAAAAAAAAATAAATCCAAAGAGCTTAAATACATCACCAGCAGTGTAACCTTCTGTGCTCTCTGCTTCAGGTGCTCCAATTGTACTTGTTCTCAGATAAAAGAGGGAAATACAGTCCCATTTCCACACTATTCCTATTAAGTGCAACATTTCTAAGTCCATGGCCTATGACAGTGAGCAACAGAAGTATTCAAATGCCATGTAAATACTGGCAGAATGTACTCAGAGTCTGTTATTGTATGTATTACACCCTGTGAAAGAGAGGACTCTTGGGCAACACATAAAAGCCAGTAACAATTATTACCAGATCAATGCTGTTTAGAAGAGAATGAACTGCCAAGTATTATGTGCCCTTAAACCACAAGAGAAAGTCAATTAAAACCATTTTCCAGAATTCCAGAATACCCCATAAAAAATAAAAGCCCAAGATTCAACATAAAGGGCGTTGCAGGAAACAAGTCAGTCTATTTAATGATGATGACCCTGTTCTTGTAAACCTTGTGCAGCAAATTCCAGGAACACAGACACAACTCTCAAGAGCTCCAGCCCTGTCTTCTACCACCTCCTCCCCTCTTTTCCTCCACCTCAGTTGATAAATGCTCAAGGATACTCAGCAAAGGCCTGGCCAAGAACAGCTTCTGTGAGGAACAAAGTATTCCTTGAATTCCTTTTCCCGCTGAGATTACCAGGGGAATGAAGGTAGTGGCATCAGCATATTGTGAGTCCACTAGAAGTGTCCCTTCCCAAAAAGGACTATCTTGTAATCCAAGGTCAAAACCAGACAATACAGAATCTCAGGGATATTTAAGAGGGAAGGTATACCAAAAGAAAATTGCTATTTGTTTTCTGTTCTCTGAGCAATGCAGGTTCTGCTTCAAACACTGTGTAATCTTTAAACAATTAAGGGTCACAAGAGTGATATTATGAATATATCTGTAATTGCAAGTCAGCCTCAATACTGAATCAGCCACCACCACTTAACCTACATTGAAGCATAGGCAGCAGTTTTCAAAAAGGCGAGATCAAAGTTCAAGCTCTACATTAATAGTTATCAAGACCTATAACTTCTGGAAGCTGCTCAAGAGGAGAGCAGATCTGACTCTTTACAGAGGTCTGATCTCTTTGGCATCAAACACATTGCCAATGTCCCACGGGAATATTATTAAAAATAAAAAAAAAAAGAAAAAAGGAAGCTGGAGACCTCAGATGATCCCATTAGAGCAATAAAGGACTAAAACAACCTGGGCAAGGAAGAAGGGGTGTGAGGGGTGTCAGAATGCTTATGATGAAAGCTGTAGCTTCAGGCTTAGAGTAAGCAGTCAATGAAAACACAGGTAACTTAGAAGAAAGTAACTTTCAATCAAAAATTTAATAAACTCATTATTTCTAAAAGGTGGAGCCGGGGAGACCACGACCACTGGAGACCAAAAGAGATTAAAATTATCTGTTGCTCTAGGGACCTTATAAAACTCTCCTTGTCACCTGCACTCAACATTCAACTTTCACACAAGTTATTAAAAAGGAAACCATGCAATTAAAATCACAAGGACTATTAGTACAATGTTTACATTTAAACACAATGGACAAACCGAGCAGAACCAGGAAGTCTTACTGGAGGCACATTAGCAAGGTGATTAAAAACCTTGCACTGCAGACAAATTCCACTAATTGTGCTCAAAAGAACATTCTGTTCATTATATACAAGGCCATACTTTCCTTTAAGATGCTTTGTAGAGTTTTCCTGCTGCCTGGTGTCAACTAAAGGCCTTGAGAGCAGACTCCTCTCTCTGCACATGCTATGACTGTCTCTAGATTTCACCTTGCCTTTGCACTGATGAATGAACATGAACACACCAGGTGGAAAAAATGGGCTATATAGCACAAGTCTTCCTGAGAAGCATGCAGGAGAAGGAGCAGCAGAAGAGCACAATGAATAGGAAAGGAAAACCACCAGCTACAATAAATTCAGAACAGTTTTGAGTTATTAGGTTACGGCCCTAATAGCTGCTTTCAAGACAAAGGCAGGTATCAGTGACTGTCACTCTCTGCCTGTTTCCCACAGAGCTCTCAGAGAACACCTGCCACCTTGCACTGCACAGCCCCAGCCCTGCCTTTGATAGAGAAACACAGGACAGGACAACCTCAAGCTGTGGTACACCACTGCAGATATTCCACCTTCCACCTCCCTTTGGGGTTTGGGTTCAAATTCAATCTAAAGGACATGGAGCATTTCACTATAAACAACAGCAATGAAATACCAGCTTTCACTTCCCCAGACATCAACTGGAGGTGAACAGAGTTCACAAAGATGAACAATTCTTGTTCAATAAAACAATTAGCTTGCTTTTTTTTTTTTTCTAGAGGTATTGGATACACAAGTTTTTATTGGTATTTTGCCATTTAATTTTTTTTGGATGCTCTGAAAATCCTATTTTAAAAAAGCTTTTCCATTACAACAATATAAACTGATATCTGCAAGGGTCACAATTACATTTGCTTTCTTCTCCACAGCAGCATGCAGTTTCCTGTAATTTCCCTGCCAGTTCTCCTTTTCCTGCCCCATACCCAAACAGAGCTACTGCTTCCCATGTGCAAAATCAGATATCCTACCCTACCTGATCACTGATATTAATATGAGAAGGCAGAGGTAATTTGCTTATCATTAGCTACTTTTACTGAAAATGCCGGCAGACTCAGGAGGAGTACTGCAGTAGCTCACATTTCATTCCCAAGTTCCTTCTGCTCCCAAAGGAAAAATATTAGGTAAAGGTAACGTATCAGCAGCATTGGTTCCAAAACACAAGCCTGAAACTCCATGTGGTGGGCAGGACACAGCTCAGCACAGCCCTTGCTCCTGAGGGCTTTCTTTCAGAGCTTTCCTCATCTACAAGTTCCTTTTCTCATGTATTTTCATATAGCTAAAGACTTAAAAACAATTTCCTAGTCTCAATAACATTACATACTTCAATAACAAAGTACAATGAACAAGACTGTTGATGGGTAAGAACACAGAAAACTGCATACAAACCTAAAAAAAGGTCATAACTACTGCCATGACTGCTGCTGGGCACAGCTCAAGAGCATTAGCAACAAAAAGCCCTGAACAACCCAACCCTACATTGCAATCAGCCAACCAGGGCTGGGCTAGAAACCTCCCAACCTAAATACTTCTGTGCAAGTAGTTGCTTTACTATATGACTTCCCATAAAACAAGGAGCTCATTAGGCATCTGCTCAAAATGCAATCAAACATGTTAAAGACTTATTGCAGACTTCCTGCTGACTTTTTTGCTCCCCAGTATATTGTTTTGCTTTCAGTTTATTAATAGTATAAACAAGCACCTTAAAATTGCTTCCAGCATTTGCATTAACCACTACAAGACAATGATGAATGCAGTATAAATACTGAAACAGAGCTTAAAAAACACAGGGTACTTAATCTTTATAACATGTGACTTCAATTCAGTTAGACTGGATACTCCATCATTTAACACTAAATGAATTGCAGGAAAACATTATGGACCTGCAATTTTATCTCATTTCCATTTTTCTTAAGCCAAAGTTTGAAGTGGACCAATTTTCTTATTAGTGATGATGAGCATATGGCTTCATGCAGGAATTTAGGAAATTTATAAAGCCTTATCTTATATCACACAGGAAGACTTCAGCAAAGAGGATGTTGTTTAATGTACAGATATGAATAGCCAAGGCTATAAAAAAAAAAAACAGGAATAAAGAAAAGACTAAAATTAAGCAGGCTTCTAGACAGCAAGAGGGTATCATCTGCCTCATTCAACAAAAGGTGAATTCAACAAAAACTGGCAATGAAACAGGCTCTTGGAAAACCTAGCACTGGTGGAATATGCCAGCTAATTCACAGTTGGAAGCACTGGCAGAGTCCATAATTTATAGGAATCCTGCAAAAGCAGCTGGGATGGGTTACAAAATATCTCAGAATTGCATAAGCCAGAAGGAAGCAGTCATTTAACAACCCATCGTTTAAACTCAGTAATTTGTGTTCTAAGAGGTGCCTCTCACTAGCTGCTCAGCCCATATACAGCCTCCTCTACTGACAGGCCAGGTACCAGAAGGTGTTAAACAGAAATGTTGACTAACCTTCCAAAAAACCCAAACCCCTAGGGTTTTTTGTTTTCTTTTGATTTTGCAAGCAGCCATGCCTCTTCACAAACTGCTTCTCAAATGCTCTTGACTAACTAGTGATAATGGGTTGTATTACAGGCTTACTACAGAGATTTCCAAAGCTTATTTTGATGCAACTACAAGAAAGACAAAGAGTCTAAGTCTGGTTCTTTATTACCATGCCTTTCCAGACACCACAAAACCTGAGGAGAAACCTGCAACATCAGCAGCCAAACAACTCTACTGCTGGGCTGCAAGTTCAATTAAATCTTAAAAGCACAAGAAAAAGTCAGTGTTTTTGTAGCACACATCCAGCCCGGGATGTCTTTACCAGCTTGGGATGATTCACCACTTGTGTTTACTAAATCTTTCTGATTACTAAGGGAACATGGAAAAGGCAGGCTGAAAAGGAAGAAATACTCTGTGTATTTGTGGTATGAGACTCACCTGAACTTGCTTGCGGAGTTTGCTGCATTCATCTGTCAGAACCTGGAGCTGGAGACGGCTCTGTGCAGATTCCAGCTCTGCCTGTCTCCGCAACTTTTGCTCCTTTTCTAAAGAGCTGAAGGAAGGAGAGGAAAGTAATCCTTAGGACTAGGTATTACCTAGGATGCTTTTCTGGGCTGTCAGCTCCTGCCCTCTGACTTCATCCCACCACAAATCCTATTCAGGCAAATCCACAAGTAACAGAAAACCTGGTACTGCATTAACCCAATACACTCACCTTGAGATATTCAGTTATGTAATTGTTCTGAATGACTCACTTCAAGTATTGTTCCAACAGCCTTTCTCCTCACCCTCTCCAAAAGGACTAATTTAGTAGAGTGAAAGAGAAATCAATTTTCTTTCCCCTACAGAAACACTTAAGTAAATTCTATACCATCCTGTCCATGTAATACACTGTCAGTAACACAGCACATCATAGCGTAACTATATAACAGCAAGATCTTCAAGCTTGTCTCTACTACCAGTAGCTGATCTTTTATTTTAGGAAAATATATCTGTACCAGAAAAAATGATACAGATAAATTTTCTATGAATGCCCATGAAAAAGACCCACTTACTACCTCACCTTGAGCTCAACAGTGCATACATACCATTTAACAGCAGCACTTTTGATAAGTTACTTGAATTTATTTCTCTTTCATACAGGCTTACATGAAGGAACAGCTAAAGTGGGGAAAGAAACACCAACGCTCCTTAAAATTAGCTGTACACTTGGTCTACGTTGCCCACTGCATTCTGTACGTCAAAAGCTGCAATATTCCAGTTATTTCTGTCGTTCATGTGCAGGGAGCTCTAGCTTGCCTGAGTATTTTGCAAATGCAGACGTAGCCTTGCATGTTCTGAAACACAGAATTCTGTCATTTCCTTATAGCTTTTTCATGTGATTTTTTTTTTCCCTGAAGAAACAGGTGAGATGCTTATTTAACCATCACAAACACATTTTTTATATCAGTACCCAAAGCCTGAAGGCTGGTGGAGTTTTTTGAATGTGAGAAACAAACCCCATGATCTTATACCTAATTTAAGACTACGTGCAAACAATGCTAATGCATGCGCACACACATCTGTGCTCCACTCATGGCTGTGTGCCACAAGGCAGCCACTGCCAGCAGCTCCATGGACTCACAGGCAGTCACTGCTCCCTGCCTTACAACAAAAACAGGAGGCAGAGGAGAGGCAGGGCATGTGGGGAATGGCTGCAGTGAGGTTCTGAGACACAAACAGAAGTCAGACAACTACCCCTTCATGACACACCCAAATGTCTTCTGTACTTTTGAAAAAAATATATCATTTATTTTTCTGTGTTAATCCAATAAAAGAAGCATGACCCTTCTAAAGGTACACTTCAAACACCATTAGGCTGTGACAATCTGGAGAGAACAGAGATTCTTCCCTTCCTGACTGTAACTCCTCAATCATTTCTGATCTATAATTACCAGGATAGTGAGGTTTCTGTTGAAAGACTACCTTGAAAGAATAGCTGTAGACATGTGAAGGAACCCCAATTAAATTCTGTTCAACATAAGGCTCAGAAGAACTCAGATATCTGCAGCTTTTTAGTTTCAGAATAGTATCTGTGACAGCATCTTACTGAAAAGAAATTAATCCCCATTTTCATACCTGCTTTTCCCTTTTTTCAATACAAAGTCTACATTTAAGCTGGAAAGGGAAGTGGGAGTCATAGTAATGCTTGCTGACCTTTTGCAAGTAAAGCTACATAAAGAGTTTGACAAAGCAAGATGGAAAGTGATTCATATGAGGTATTACTCTGTTTAATGCATGCAGAAAAGACGGCAGAAAAGGTCAGCTATTCACCCTCCTTGCATTCTAACTATGCCTTGCTTTTCCCATCTAATGATGAATTAGCAATATACAGCTTTTTGGCATTAACTTTGCATGTTCTCCCATGATAACATTTCAGGATATAGCACAAGATAGGTTTTGCTGTTTCTGGGCCACAAAATGCAAACTCAAGAATTCTGTTCCAAAAGAAAATTAAGACATGCAACACAGCAAGGCCTTGGTTTTTTAAGGTAGCTACACTCCTGATAAACCCCAAGGGAATGCACAAATTGCTTTAGACAGTACAGGAAATGAAAGCATGAAGTAGAAGCTAGAGTGCAGCTTTCAGGGTCAGGTATCTTTATGTGGAGACTCTGTACCTCCTCATGCGCTCCTGCTCACTGGTATCCAGCGCTTTCAAAGTGCGGGCATACAGGATCACGATGTCGGAACGCTTGGCCTTCTTATTGCACTGAAATCAAACACAAGCTCAGTTCATCTGCAGGAATTAAACTGTCCAAACTATGCATCCCTATGAATCCATAGGTATTGTTTTATTTAGCTCTGAAGGGACAGGCTGTCTGCTGGAAAACAATGCCACGAACACTTACAAGCACGTTTGCAAAATGCTCCCTCATACAGACACCAGAGCTCTAACCAGGGCTACAACAAAAGCTGCATATCCTACTGCACCTTTAATAATCCATCTCCTTGCTTCCTACTAAATGTATTCTGCTAATGCATCAGCAAGGCAGCATGGCCAGGTAAGTTCCAGGGTCAAAAAACCCAAATCAGACAAAGAAGTGAAAACAAGAGAATCTAGAACAAAACACCAGCCCAACTTCAGGTCTGAAATCACCAAGACTTGCTGCTTGGCCAACAGACAAGTATTTAGGAACCCCTGAGTATACTCTCAACTCTTATTTCTGTACTATATTCCTTTAATCAAATTCTACAGGCCCAAATCCATAAAAATGTTCCAGTGTTGTATGAAACATTGACATCTCACTGACTTCAGGGATACACAGGGAGTCAGATATTTCAATAATTTTGTGCATCAAGCTGCAACCATATAGCACTTTACATCCACCTTAAAAAGAAGGCAAGTTAGAATTGCAGATACCATAATTTCTTCCTAGTTTATTGTTTTGCAAATACTCTTGATGAGAAAAGAGGCAGTGAATACTCAGATTGAATAACCTCTGCTAAATATTAAATTACTATGTGTGCTTCAAATGCAGACTTCTCTAACACTTAGCAGCACAATGATATCACAAACAATAGTCTCAGAGCAGACAATCTCCCTCCCTTTGTAAAAACTGCCTTGCCAAGCAGTAAATAAATGGCCAAGACAGTTTTCCTGGCAGCCAGCAGCTGCCACTGGCAGGATCAGGAATGCTGCAATTTCACAGTAACTTGCACTCAAGCCACTTAGTATACAGACCATGCACAGCAACTCTGGGCTATTCAACCACAGAACGCCCAGTTGCAAAGGATGGTGATTGAAAATGAAAGGTAGGTGATTTAGCTTCAAGGTTCTCTCCAGAGCATGAACTCCCAGGAACTTTTTATTGTTTGTAGCATTGGAAGAGAAAGAGGGAGCAAGCAACCCTTAAGATGTTAGTGTTCAAGAAGAAAGCAGTCCAAAAACAATCCAAAGAGTAAATATGCCAGACAGGTCGCTCAGAATTCTGTGTGAGCCTCAAGTGGGTGAAGAAAAGCTTACACAGAATTGATAGGGGTAAGAAAAATCAACTTGGGCCTTTGCTATGGCAACAAGGATTCTTTAGGTTTAGTCACAGCACACGTCAAGAGGAAGTTTCTTGTTGAGAGGAGGGAATCCTGCAAAGTCAAGCAAGAATACAGAAGCTCTCAAAATGACAAAGCCAAAGAAACCCTGGGCTTCCAGCCACCAACTTAGAAAGTGGCAGAATCCTGAATCCTATTTACAAGGTACTCATTGACCTATTTTTTGTCAACATTCCTTTGGAAAAAAGGAGTAAGGAATGAAAATACATCACAGAAAAGTAAGTGTAGACCTCATCGAAGGAGATTAGTATTAAGCATGTAAAGAAAGCTGCAAAGAAAACCTTCAAAAGATGATTTACCACTTGCAAAGGGACATTAAAAGATGTAATCTGGTTCTCAGTTTGCTCTCTGCAGCTTTCTAAACAACCTGGTCCTCTAAAAGGCTGCAAAAGCTGACGCAGTTCAAAACAGAAGATTTATCAGCTGAAAACTGAATTAGATGATCTTTAGCATCCTTTCCAACTCTAACCATTCTGTGGTTCCAAAACAGCTCTCAGACAGATTTCTTGTCCAACAACATAGTCTTTATGCTTAGTTAATTGCTTCTAGGAATCCACCTGCTACTTCCATTCCAGGTGGTTCTCTCCAGGACCAGAGTGGGGCATTCTGAAACCATTTCCAAGCTTAGAACTTGTACTCTCAAACTTTTGCATCTGCTACTCACAAATGCTGTACTTGAGGGAGAAGATCCCAGTCACAACTCATCCTTTAAAGTACTGCTAATTGCTACTGGCCTAATAACATCAAAATAACGGTGGGGTTTGCTGCTTCTGACAGCAGCTTCACACAGCAGCCAGTTGTAACACTTACAGTGATCACATCTGAGGCACAAGTTAGGCACATATGGTAAGTGCTTTCCAGTGCACATAAACACCCATTTTACCTGAGGGCACTTCCCTGCCTGTCCCTTGAGCCACCTCTCAATGCACGTGTAGCCAAAGAGGTGCCCACACCGCAGCGCAGACAGACGGTGGTCCCCAGCATTGGTCCACTGCTCAAAGCAGATTGCACAGATATCTCCTTCCTCCTCATCCAGGGGTGCAACAGGAACTGATGGCTCCAGTTTCTTTAGTGGACTTGTCTAGGAATAAAAATTAAAAAACCAATACGACCGTTTTAGAAAATGCAGCCTTTATCATATATAATCTGTTCCAAAAAGCATTTAGTTCACCTTACTTGCTTTGGCTGGACTTCAGCTTCATCTTCATGACTTTGGTGTTCTGCAGAAGCTTGAGACAAAACTTGAGGTGGCTCTGCTTGTACCTGACTGGAAACTAAAGAAAGCTTTGCTTAAATAACCTGATTCATAATGGGGGGAAAAGGAGTTTTCCTGCTTTGATCTGAAATCATCAGGGCACAGGTTAAGTAGTGACACAGCACAGGTTACTTATAAAGCTTCAGATCAGTGTCCTGGGCACAGTCTGTGTGTAAGGCCTTCTATACCTGTACAGTAGTGATGAAGAATTTTATGTTTTCTTTTATGGAAAGCAACAGAATTTCAGTGAAAAAGGAGAGATCTTTTAAGAACAGCAATTGTTATCAGAATTTTCTGACCTGCACAAAAGAAACAGACCTGGTCTATAGTTAGGCTGATGTAAGGTTATATTTCTGCATCATTGTGCCCTGAGAAAGACAGACAGCAATATCAGAAGTTGCTCTGCCAAGGGATCTAAGCATGCATATTTCATGTGCCAAGGAAGCATTTCCCATATGCTGGCTGTCCATTCACTCTGACTTCAGCAGTTTTCCAACTGGTAATTGCCTGAACTACCAATTCTGCTAGTACTCTCCCTGTGTTTTTGTGGTGGGCCTCTGTCAGCCCATCTGTTGAGGCATGGGCACACTGAATGTGGAGATCACCACTAGCACAGTAAAAAAGGAGCAGAAATCACTGCCTCCCCTCTAGCTCCTGACAAAACAGGAGTTATTAATCACATCTAGTTATCAAGGCAGGTATTCTCCATCCAGCAGAAGTATCACCTAACCCTGGCTAATGTCAATAAAGTTTTCAGCCTCTGTGGTTCTGAGCTGTAAGAGGAGCCACTGGCTTATATAAGCAACAAGGGAATTCCAGAAAATCCAACAGAGAGCATATGTTCACACAATAATATACAGCACTTAACAGCTTGAGCTCCTGTCATGTGTAAAACTAGCCCAGAGCAAGCAGAATGGATCTGTTCAAAAGACACCTCAGAGATGTATCCTTTTAAAAAAAGTAACATGGTGGGCTAGCCAATCAAACCAAAACTGAGGGCAGAGAGTGAATCATAAGGGCATTCCTTAGAGACTGAAGTAAAAAGTTATCCTTGTTCTTGTATTCTCTGGGCATCAATAACCTTGACTAGCAACTCAACTATTTGTCACTTCTAAATAAACTGTGCATGTTCATCACAAACAATGTCACTGAAGTGTGTGTCAGCCTGAGAACACGAGTTTAGATAAAGAATTGGGAGACAGAAAGAGATGAGAAATGAAAAACAAAAAGCACCTCCATGTCCTCAGCTAAGTGACACAAGTTACAGGAATGAAAACTAAACTGAAACAGATTGGAATTTCAAATAATTAAAAAATAATGAATCAGATCATTCTCTGAAAGCTCTTGCTGATGTCCAAGCTGTGACCTGATGTCTTCAATAGCATTTCTTAATAATATATGACAGCGGAAGCATGGCAAGCAATAATCTCTAAATTTAAATTACAAATAATCCTGGAAATGTTCACAATAAGTAGCAGTCTGCAAACAGCAAAAAGATTGTATTTAACATTATGGTAGCAATCACCCATTGCTGCTGCTGCTCTTAGGAGCTGCTTGCCAGGAAGCCGTGTGGCAGCAGCCTGCTCCTGTCAGCTGTGGGCACAAAGATCTCTGAGCACCGTCTGTTGGGAAGCTCAAAAGAATTTCCCTGCTGTGTTTTCAAACAGCAAGGGAAGTGTCTGCAATCAGTCTCTACACAGTTCCAATACAGCACAAACCTCCTGAGCTCGCTGCTGGAGGCGTCTCCTGGGCTGATGGTAACAGTGGTGCTGCTGCCTCCACTGCTTCCTCCTCCTCCTCTTCCTCCTCCTCCTCAGAAGTGCTGCTGTCAGAGTCACTCACTTCTATGGTCTCGTCTGGGCGCTGTTCCTGGGTGTCCCTCGCAATATGGGGCAACTCCAGGTGTGGAACTGGTCCTGCAGATGGCTCTTGGGTCCTACTGAGTTGAAAGTAATGGTCCAATGCTGCCCTGAGTCCAGAAAAGTAAGAAACAAAAGCCACAGTCATTTCAGGTAAGCTAAAGACTCATCATGTTTCTCCATGAATGCTTGCAGGAAAATTCCTAGGCTTTGACCGCAGCAGGAAGGTGTCACTGTTATCACATCAGGGCTTCTCTGGTAGAGGGGCAATCACATAGGATAGCCCACTTTGTGAACAATCAGCAGGATCAGCAACAATTCATTTTGCTCAGTTCAAAGAAAATCTTCTCATTACAACAATGATATTGTCTTCTTTTGGAGGAGAAGGGGATGATGGGGTTAGAGAGGAGAAAAACAAAGTAGTATCATTCACTAATAAGCCTAAGGGAAACTCCTAATCTGTCTCTCCAACACTAACTCAGCCCTGGGTCCTGGAGGAACTGGTACTGTGAAATGCACACCATTTGGATCAGAGCCTCATTCCATTAGCTACTTTGTTCTTAGTCTACTTTCCTCTTCTTTACTACTGGAACTTCATCCCTAGATAGAAACATCCTCCCTTCTCCCCCCCATCAGTTCAGCTATCATCTCAATTATCCTTCAGATTCAAAGGAGTTTCTCAGGTTGCCTTCCAGCCCTCACAACTGTGAGTGACCTTCACAGGCAATCCGAGGGCAAACAATACAGTTTTGTTTAATCATCTGGGAGGAGAGGAGCTCTTGGTCTCGCTGAATTTAAAAGCAATGCTTCAGTTAATTATAATTTCACCCTTGGCACATACAAAAGATAGAATGATGAGACAAAAAACAAATAAACAAGGAACTGGGATTTCTTTCTGGCTGGAGAGCATCCCCACTCATCCCCCTTTAATCCCAGTACAAATGGTATTAAATGGAGACGATTTTTTATTTTGTCTGAAAGTAAAAAACAAACAAACTACAAAAACCCCAACAGAGCAAAATAAAAAAAAAAAAACCCTACAGAAAAGTATCAGTTTGTATGTTTGTGAAAGTTTCTGTAACAACAGTCACCAGTAAATGTAATCAGGCAGATCCCAAATCAAAGGTGAAATATAAATCAGAGCACAAGCTCCACTGAGCTAAATGCTGTCTCAAACTGCTGAGAATCAGCACTGCTGCAGGAATCACAGGCAGGAATATGTCTGTGCGGAGGCAACAGCAGCAGAAGCTCTGCAAGCAAAATTCAAAATGCTTTGGGGCTCAGAAGTCAACATTACCTCTCCTAACATATGAAACAGGGGGATTCACTTAACAAGGGCAAAGAACCTGCCAGAGGAGACCAGAAGTCACTGTGCTATTACTGAAACTTAAAAGGTAGATTTGATTTGGTCCCAGCCACACACTTGGGCTGGGTTCTGTAAGCCAGGAAGCAAGGAAAGTTTTGAACTGATACTGGACTTGATCAGAGGGCAGTTCAGACCCAATTTCATTTCTGCGTTACCTGGTGCTGATTGTCCTCTGGGAACCACCAATTCTCTGCTGCCTGCGAGCTCTCCTCACTTGCGGACGCTGTGTGAGCTGTGGCACAGGCAGTGGTTGGTACAGATCAAACGCCCCTTGTAGCCTCTCCAGCCCACTGGGGGCTGTGGCAGGACCTGTCTGCAGTTCAGGATCTGGAGCTGCCTCCCTTGTACCAGCGTCAGGTGTGACAACAGCATCGTCAGCAGGAAAGGCTGCAGCGCTGCCTCCTCCTTCACCGAGCACAGGAATGAGGGGTGAGAGCTCTGGGTGACCAGAGGGCTCCGGGGCATGTGTCTGGAGGGTCTCCACTGAGTAACCAGCCACTGGATGGAGATCAACTTCCATCTCTTCTTGAGCCATTTCTGCAAGGAGTTGAAGAAAACTAGTATTTAATTATAAGTGTACCCTACCTGTAGCCTGAGGGTAGCAAGAACCAGGTACAGCACTCAGTGACTAAAAAAGCTTCTAGAATTCAGTCAAGAGAAAAGTTGTCCTTTGCAGCAGAGCTAAACCACAAGTCAATACATATATGTAAGCTGGGAGCAACCTCCCAGGAGTCCTGGGCTCAAAGTCCTTGGCTCGACAGCAGCTAGCACCAAAGGCACATTGCAAAATCAACTTAAATAAGCATTTGGATGACTATGTAAAGTTAATGTTCTCTTGCTGCCATCAGTTACTTGCCAAGTAAATTCACGTGGATCTTGAAGAACAGTTGGGAATATCTGCGAGACTCTCCCAGGTGAGCAGCACTGCACAAGCACCCACAGATACAGCCAGAAACAAGCTCTATGACACAGTCCTTTGCTGTACTGATCTCAGGAGGTGGAGTGACATTTAAGTTTCTTCAAATAAAATTGCTTTTTTGTAACAGATCACTGTGACCCTTACCTAGAGTGCACTGAACAGCCCTTCAGGTATTTACCAACACCAGGCAAACACAGAAGGGGCATGACAGCAGCATACAGGACTGAGAAATTACTGATACCAAGTTATCTGCAGCATCAGCATTTGTGGATCCATATTCAGCCCAAGACTGGATAACATGAATTGTTAATAAACATGAAATTTGCAGTAAAACTGTAAATATATTAAGGATGGTTGACCTTCTACATCTTTGGCATATGGATTTCAGGTTGCCTCCAGAACAGGAGTGCTACCTTAGGGTTTGAAGAAAAACAGAGACAACAGCTTATGCATTATTAACTCTCCTGCTGCTGTCCGCCATCAAATTAAGAGCACTTTGGTTACACTGTTCTTACAACACAAACAAAATAGTTCAAGATTATTTAATTCATTGAATGAACACATGCACCAAAAACTCTCAAGTCCTTTATTGGAAGAGGTGTGTGGATTAAATTCTGCAAGCTGCTGGAAATCATTCACATTCTCCAAAAAGTACTTAAGCAATCATAAACTTGAAAAGCCTTGGCTTTTAGCACTATTTAGAAGCCCAAAGCACTAACACCAGTTTTACCAACCTGGTGAAGGTATACAGCTAGGGCTGTATACAAAGAACAAATGCTGGTTGTGTATAAAAAGTTGCAGAAAATGTACACAAGAATTAATAAAAAAGGTTGTACTACGGCTCAAATATTTTTATAGATGTTTTAAAAATTTCTAATTTATGAGTCATTTCATCATTCCTATGCTGATTATCAATTCAGCCTAAGCTAGGCCAAAAATAGATGTTACCATCTCCCACCAGAACAGCTGCATGGCCAAGACATGGTAATAGTCAACAATCAAGTACTGCATCTCTAACCCTATGTTCATAATCATGATAGAATTGCCACCTATAACCATAATAAAGCCTTTATTTTCACCAAACATAGAATCATGATGTTAAGGGGTTGGAAGAGATGGGTACATAATAGGAGAGAATTGGAAAAGATTGGTCAAAAGATAAAGAATAGGTAGGGACACCTCCCACTAGGCCTTATCCAGCCTGGCCTGGAGCACTTCCAGGGTTGGGACATCCACAGTTTCCCGGGACATCATGTTCCATTGCCTACATTAACTGTGAGATTTATAAAAACGTTAATACTGCCATTTTCACGGTTAAATTTTGGAATCCGACCCAAAGGAGCAGTGCTTCCTCCAGCCAGCCAGCTGCCTAGCAGGCAGTCCCGGCAAGAGCCCGCAAATGGAGAGTCCCCACAGACGGCCTTCCCGGGCCCAAATGAGAAATTCCGAGAGCTTCCAGAGGGCCGAGCCTGGCCGGCAGCCTCAGGGCTCGCACCCGAGGGCTGTGAGGGCTCTGAGGGCAGCAGCAGCTGCCCCTTGCGGAGCGCACCCAGGCCCCGCTCCGCACCACCCGCAGGGCTTCTGCCGTACCTGCTTTAGCGTGAAATTAACCAGAAGAAAAACAAACCAAACCAAACCAAACACACGCTGCACGAGCGGGAAATCTCTGCCGTCTTTTTCACAGAGCTTGCATATTTTAAAGACGAACCCGTCACAAAAAAGACACGGGAGCAGGATATCCCTCCCCCGGCAGCCGCAGGCAGCCCGAGCACTCGGGGGGAACAAGGAGTACTTGGGAACTCGGCCTGATCCCGGGGGGATCGAGCTGTGCCGGGATCCCAGCCCGATCCCGGTCCGGAGCAAGCCGGCGG